CGTAGTTTCCTTTTTGATTTATATCTGGGGTATAACGTCTCAAAAGCACTATTTGATAATGAGAGACGCCGTAGGGGAGGGCTCCAGAATTTGGGACTTCCTAGGGTTCTTTACCTGCATCCAAATCTGAGCCCGCGGGCCTACAGCATTTTCGCCTACTGCATAAATGCAGCTGCAGCAGCCTTGGATTCGATCCCGCAACGTGCGGCTCAGCAGCCAAGTACCTTATCCCCTAGACCGCCGCGGCGGAGCCGTAGTTTTTATTTTTTCTAAATATCAACGGATCTGATGCAATTGCTTATATTGTTTCATGCGAAGAACTGTTGTTCATGTTTGAAATCTCGTTCGTCACACTTAGTAATAAAAACAAATATTATACCATAACAGAGCTATAGACGTTTCGCAAACCGAGAAGGGCATAGGCACGTTGCGCTGAAGAATGTGGTGCTGAAGGCAACAGCTATTTTTCATTAGGACTTCTTCACTGTTGGCTTCATTTTATTTCTAGAACATGAATATTTTGTAAATTTTCTGGAGGAAGAGTTGTGCTCGTCTACTTCTCAATAATACGCGTGATTTTCTTGTCGACTACTATGTATTTCTAGCACAGGTAACATTACTATTTTAGCTATCACTAAAAGTCTCAAACATATTGTACACTAATACGCGTGAAGAAATCGTTGCTTAAGCAGTTTTTGTGTTGGGCTGCTTGCGTCCATATTCTGCGGCTTTCTAGCCCAAGAACATTGAAATTAGGGCGGGCTAAACACTAAAACATAAATTATATATCTATATAGCAATTGAGGTTAAGTTTCACTTCATGCAGTGTTAAGCTTTAAGGTTACAGTAATATGTGTGCTAAAGGAAAGCCAAAAGTGGTAGACACATTTGTTGTACATCACTTTGAAAGCCTTGCACTTTCCGTGAATTCAGAGTGTGAGTTTGAGTTTGAGTTTAATTACCCACGTGACAAGTACACGAAAATAGACTGCATAGGTGGATTGGTGCGAAGGGAAAAAAGTTGCATTTCACAGCATGACTGGCACCTTCACCCAGAAAAAAAAATCTAAACTACAAATTTACAAAAACAAAAAATTACAGGCAGCGGGAAGCGACAATACAAAAAGAGGTGGGGAAGGGAGGTGGGGAAGGAAATAACTTTTTTCCGGTGTTCAATAAACGTCAGCAAACTCGTCATCTGGTCAGGCCCTCAGGGGGTTCTCATGGAGAGTCAGTACTTAGAGGTCTGCCTGTGGGCCTTGGTGAACGTATTCCCTTTTTTTTTCGGAGGAAGGGGGGATGGTAGACTTGAATTGGCTGGGGCACCGCTCCTCAGGCCATAGTCGTTTTTCACGTGACCACGTAACCTCGGATCTGGGTTTGAGAATTATTGTCACGAGTATAATCTATGAGTGGTGTGAATTAAAATACACCACAAAAAAGGTATACAGTCATTGCAATCGAGCATCGTTGTTTACGTAGTTTCAATACGTTGCGAAATTGCATGCGCTTTTAGGATTCAAAGAATGTATTCTCGTTCATACAGCCTATCACTCTGATAATCTGGAATGGGGGCTTATTACTTCTCTTGAAGTGTTGTGCACCTTTGGAACGAGGGCTTCTTTCCTGTTGTATTTTCAGTACCCACCACAGACCAGCGGTTCTCGTGATACTGGGCCATATATCCTTTAAGGAAGAGGATGTTAAAGATGAAGTATCCGACTACGTTTGCATAATGGTCCCGCCTATTATCTACAAAACCCCGAGCAGTGCGCAGAATGCGCTGGTATACGGTCACACTATTGTAAGTATAGTGCTAACTCCTAAGTGATAATTCGTAATATCAATATAATTGTTCTATTTTTTGCACACAAGCAAATACTGCAATTCTTTTATTCCTGTTGCAGATGGACGCCGCAAAATTGTTAGCTTGCATCGCCACTAACTTAGAACCGTTGCCCGTGGTTGGAATTTCGCTCACAATGAAAGGCCGCTGGTACACACCCAAGGTAGATGACGTGAGCGTAGCCGCAGCTGGCAAGTACAGTGTCTTCGAGGAATGTAAGAGATTTCAAGAATATGGGGTTCCACAATTGGTGAGCGTCATTCTACAAACTATACCAGATAGTAAGCACATGTTTTTCCACAAAAGTCTATGAAATACATAACAATATAGTGCTAAGGTAAGTTCTGAATTTTGTTACAAGCACTCCGACTATTGCGAACTCAGAGAATGGAGGAGTTTAAAAAACACAAATGAGACGTAGTAACAAAGTTATGGGAGTCATTACGGAGTCACTACTCACCATGAGCTACAGAAAAACGAAATTTCTGAGTGAGTGAAGGCACCTTGGCACAAAAAAAAGCAATCATGTGCACGCGTAATAACCTCATGTGCAGTAATACCAAATTTTCTGCGGAAAACTTGATAATATATATATATATATATATATATATGCGTCAAGCGATTCTAGTGACATCTACAGTAAAAAGTTCTCAGGCCAATAGTTAGGTTTAATTACCTTTTCAAATACACCTCGTAGGCTCCTCATAACAAAATCACAATTTTAAGTATCTTCAAACATAGACTAGGAGAGTGCCTTATTGTTTACAATTATTACGGTAGTATATTGTATCTGCTCCACAAATACATCTTGGTCAAGTGTCTTTTATCACGAGAAAATATTGGAGAATCGTGGCCTAGCCTCGATCACTTACAGCATTGCAAAGAGTACTCTGCCTCTACACACTATCGCATACCATGTATTGCGTTCCCTATTTTAAGTACGGAAGTACTTTCCGATTTCCCTTCTGCATGCGAATTGATAACGGGGTGCTAAGTACATTTTATGTTTGCTTTCGTAAGGCTTGATAAGGTAAATCTATACCCATACCATTAGTATTTTCACAATCAAATTACCCATGTTTGCAATTCAGTGACAAAAAAAAATTCGAAAGTAGGGAAGTAAATATGTTTCCTATGCGATAAGCCATTCAACGTAGTTGTAAATATGAGATAACGTATTGTGGTAACTAGCCATCAAAATGTGTTCTCCGTCTAGCACAAATCAGAAATAATTTGGCCAGTGTACTCAGTGAATATTATTCTCCGAATATTTGGGCAAGGTGATTCCAAGGTTTTCACATGATACAATGCCTTGGAGAGAAAAATTTGTTGTGTGGCAATTTAGGCTCCGTCGAATCAAAATAAGGGGGAAACACCGACGTTTTTCAGTTTTAATAAAGGGCCACTCACCAGGTTTGACAATTTTGAGCTCACAAGCGCAATGCGTAGGCGAGGCATTCATGATCATGTCCGCCAAACTTCTGTAACACTACGCGCCGCGGAAATGCGTCAAATTTCAAGATGAAAGCTGCTCTCCCTCCACTCTGCCGGCGCACGCGTAGAGAATGAGAGCATGACGTAGGCGTAGCAATGGCCCTACGCACACGGCAATGCAGTGACGTTGGTCTCCTACGTAGACGAGTCTGCACTGACGTTGTCAACAGTGTACCACGTGACATGGCAAAATTATGCATAATTTATGTATTTGTTGCCTTAAGAGAATAATAAAACTTGAAATAAATAATGAGACGCAATAAAACATTGTGCGCATTTTTTTTAATTTTCCCCGTGAACTGCTACAAGATGCGAGGCTAATGTTCCAGTGTTTCACATCCATTCGTAATACTGCGGTAAGCGCATTGAGCAGACGACCGCCGTCGAATGCTCCTACGCGTTCGCGCACTCATTGTGCGCATCTACTCTGCGGCGTCTAAGCTAGTGTTTCCTAACCATTTTGCAGAAACAGGCAGAAGACCACAAAATACCGCTGGTCAGCAAACGAACTCTGCTCGTGTTCTCGGGGGTCGGACTTGTTTCAGCCCGTGATGCACACGTCACTTCATGGTCGGATGCCGGAGAGGATGGGGAAGAGGTTTGACTTGCGAAGGCTACGCGGAGGAGTTGCTAGGGCTTTGAGCTCGCCTCTTCACATGAAGGGGGAAGGGGGAAGGGGTAGGGTGATTAAAGCGAGACACTAGCATGCTCGGACGTCCCGGAGCAGCAACCTACTCGCGTCAAACCCGTGGGGGCGCCGCTTTCGGCCGCTGGCGTTCCAGAATGCTAAGCACGTGCTGGACCACGTCTCTTTGATTGCCTGGCTCTCGGTTGATAATTTTGCTGCTTATGGCAGTTGGCATTACTTCTTGGTTACCCGGCGGTGGTGCACAGTCCAAAAGGAGGTGTCTCTGGGTGGCTCGCACCTTCTTGCAGTGTTGGCATACATCAGTGGTGTAAACCTCCGGGCAAACGTGCTTTGCCCAGACGGGGGTCCATATTGCTTGTACTTGCAGCTGCCGTAGTGTGGCTACTTCTCTGCGTTGTAGGTCTCGGTGAGGCGGTGGGTAGAGGCGTGTGCTTGTTCTGTACTACTGCAGAACGTCGGCGTAGGTTGTGATAAAATACTCTCCGTCTTCGGTATCGGGTCGTTGTGGCTCCGAGGAATGCGTTGACAGAGACCCGCGGCTAGTTAGCGCGTGTGCCTCCGTATGTGCCTTCTCGTTGCGGTTCGGGCCCACGGCCAGCTCCCCGGCGTGCGCAGGGAACCACTTGACGGTAATGTTGGTTTCCGGTCTTGCTATAGTTGAACATACTCTTGCAGTGGTTCCATGGACGCTGTTTGTAGCAAAGTTGGCTATTGCCGTCTTCGAGTCGCTGAGGACCGTGCAGCAATCCGGGATCGCTAGTTCCAGTGCGATTGCAAACTCCTCGGCTTGCGTGGGCGACTTGCACCGTATGCTTCCCGACGTTGTGAGTACTCCAGTGTCTGCTGCGATGACTGCTGCTGCGTACGTGTTTGGCCGGTGGGGATACTTCGCCACGTCCACGTAGTACGCGCGCGGATCGTTGGCATGACCTTTTGTGAGGGCCGTGGCTCTCGCCGTTCTTCTTTCTTGGTGTACTTGTGGATGCATGTGCTTCGGTAAGAGCGGAACCCTCAGTCTTTTAGAACGTCCCGGGGTAGCTGCTTCGCTACCTCCGGAGTCGTCGCTGGCGCGTTGATTCCGATGCACTGTAGTATCGTTCTTCGCGTCCTGGTCTGGGACAGGCGGTGATACTGCGCCGTTCGCTGGGCTTCTGCGATTTCTTCCAGCGTGTTGTGAACGCCCAACGTGAGCATGCGTTCCGTGTTGGTGTGGGGGTATAAGGCCAGGGCCGTCTTGTACGCCTTTCTGATCATCGCGTCAATCTTGATCTTCTCCGCCGCTTTCCAATTGTGGAACGACGCTACGTAAGAGATAAGGCTGACTGCAAACGACTGGGTGAGTCGTAGTAGACTGTCTTCTCGCATGCCCTGGTACCGCGTCGCCACCTTCTTGAGTAGGCGGGTGGCCAGCGAGAGCTTTGCGTGGAGCTTCTGTACCGTCACGTTGGTGCGGTTCAAGTCCTGGAGGTGCAGCCCCAAAACTCTGAGCGTCTGCACGTGCGGCATCGGCGTTCCATCTTGGGTTACCACGTTGATGTTCTGCGTTGTCGGGCGTCGCGCACTTCGCGGTGAGATCACTAGCAGTTCCGACTTGGTTGGTGAACATTTGAGTCCAATGGGTCGTAGGTGTTCTTCTATGGCGGCGACGGCTTCTTGAAGGGCTGTCTCGATCTGGCTGTCGCTTCCTCCCGTTGACCACAGCGTGATTTCCTCCGCGTAGATCGTGTACTTTATGTACCTAACGCATTCCAATCTTCTTGCAAGGCCTATCATGACAACGTTGAACAACAGAGGGGAGATCACCGAGCCCTGCAGTGTCTCCGTGCTCCCCAGCTGCTTGAGCGGTAGTTGTAGTTCTCCTGCCACAAGCCGCGTGGTGCGGTTGGTCAGGAAATCTTTGATGTAAGCGAACGTCCTCTCCCCCATGTTGAAGTGGGACACCTCCTGCAAGGACGGCCGAGTGGTGTACGTTGTCGAATGCTCCCTGGAGACCGAGTCCGAGCACCGCTCTGTTATCCAACGTGGGAAAGTGTCTGTCCACGATTGCGTTCTTGAGCAACAGCATGGCGTCCTGGGTACACAGTTTGGCCCGGAACCCCAGCATTGTATGTGGATATATGTTGGATTCTTCCAAATAACGTTGCCATCTGTTGAGTAGGACGTGTTCAAGCACCTTGCCCACGCACGACGTTAGAGAGATGGGTCTGAGGTTGTCTATGCTGGTTGGTTTGCCCGGTTTGGGGATCAGAACTGTTTTCGCGGTCTTCCATTGTTGCGGTAGCTTGCCCGTCCGCCAGCACTGGTTGTAGTACTTGGTGAGGGCTTCGATTGCCGTGTCGTTCAAGTTCCTCAATGCCTTGTTGGTGACGTGGTCCGGTCTGGATGCCGGTTTACAGTTGATTGTTTGTAGAACCGCTCGCACTTACTATTCTTCGATGTCGGCATCTAGTCTCTCGTTGGTTGCCCCTTCGTAGCTGGGGAGTGGGTCCATTGGCGTTACGGGGAGATACTTGGCGTCCAGGCGTCGTTGCACCTCAGCCTCTCCCATTTCTTTGACGGCTTTGTGAATTGTCTTGTTCAGCATGTAATGCTGAGCTCCTTGGTTGTCTGATCGTCGAGCAAGTGGCGTAGCAGGCGCCACGTCTTGCCTTTGTGTAGTTGACCGTCCGCTTCTTGACACACCGCATGTCACTGCTGTCTGCAGAGGACTGCGCTGTGATGCTCGATGTCTCTGTTGAGTTGTGCTATACGTTTGCGTAGCTTTCTGTTGTGGCGTTCACGTTTCCAGCGCCGTATTAGCGAGTTGCGGGCTTCCATGAGGTGCGCTAGTCTGCTGTCCAGCATCGTAGCCTCCGGCTCCGCTTCTACCGTCCGAGTGGCGTCTTTGGTCGTGACGTTCAACGTGTTGGTCCATGCTTCTATGTTTTCAATGGTTTCCGTAACGTTGTCTTCTAATTTCTTTCTGTACTCGTGCCAGTCAACAATTTGCTGTTGTGACGACAGAAAATAGCGCAAAAAACGGGGACACAAGACGAGGACACACGGCACAGGCGCTATGCACCAACAAGCCCAAACTACGACAGTGTTGATTTGCTGTTGCTGTGCTCTTTGCGTGTTCTCTGAGATGGGTATTGTAATTTCGAGTATGCAGTGATCACTTCCCAACGTCTCCCCGGTGTTCCGCCACGTGACTCCACGCAGTGCTGAGGCCGTGCTTATGAAAGCGAGGTCCGGGTTTGAGTCTCGCTGCGACGACGTTCCGTTTCTCGTAGGTGCGTTGGTGTCGTTTAGCGATTGGTAACCTGCGTCCATTGTTTCGTCGTAGAGACTGTGGCTTTTCGCCATCGTGTATGGATACCCCCATGCCGTATGTTGAGCGTTGAAGTCTCCACACAGTAGGGTTACGTTGGAGTCCACGAGCTGTTGCGCTTTGTGCACAAAGGTGCGGAATTTTTGCTGGAATTGCTTTGGATTGCTGTACACGTTGATTATAAAAGTGCTTTCACGGCGCTTGCGCTTCCCAGTGACAATTTCGACCGTGCTGTGCTCGATGGCGCCGTTGGGTAGCAGCTCGTGATCTATTGAAGTTAGATTCTTCTTCACCAAGATGCTGACCCCCTGCCCTGCGCCTTTCCCAACTGTTCGTGCGCTGGGGAGCTTCACAAAGGATCTGTACCCCGGTAACGTCGATGGGGTTTCACTGTGCGTCTCTTGTAGTATTATAACGTCGGGTCTCTTGGTGCTTTGTTTTATGTACTGTTGTACCGCTTCAAAAAACCTGTTTTCTCAGCTCGTGATGTACCGATTCTAAAACTTTTTTCTGGCAAATTGTTTCTCATCGGACACCCAACTACTTTCACTGTCTAACTAAAATTCGGTATGGGGCCTGGTGAGTGGCCCTTTCAGTGTTTCTATTCAAGGAAATGAGATAAATGGTTCCTCCCATGCTTAATTCTTAAAGTAACTGTATGTGCACCAGAATGACAAAACATTGTTTCATAGCACTTCATTATGCATTGTAACAATTATGATGGTGTAGTACATTGCTTTTTTTCACACGCAGGTCAATAACACAGTACTAGTTATCCATTCATACAGAAGTCATTCACGCTGATGTTTTGCCTAAATCCCGTCACATTTCAGGTGGCGAATTCCGTGACGTTTCTTTTCATTCCCAATCTTCAATTCTATAAAAAAAAAGTCGCAGCTTCGCGACAAAGGCGAGACAATAAACTAACTAGCACGACATTTGAAGGTCACGCGAAAAATGGCAAGCCGATCTAAACACGCCCCGCGTTCGTCACTCACAAATTGCGCATGAAACGTACTCAAGGGTACAGATTAATGTGTGTAAGCGTCCCAGTGTAACTTTGTTGTGTCAAAAAAGCGCACACTTTTCGCAAACGGAGATCGTGCAAAGCGTGCAGTGGCCTCTGTATGTCCGGTAACTACAACAGAAATGTACCTAAAAGCCCCCCACCATGAGACCCCCACCCCTACGCAAGAACTTTGCTCCCCATCGCAAGGACATTGAAAAAGAATTCGAAAGTGCCCCACCACACTATAATCAAGTGCACGTGCAATTGTCCACCCTATCCGCTCTCCGTGCCACAAAATTTCGCGTGGGAGATAAGAGCGCACGCCACTGCGTGTCGACGATCTGGTGACGTGCACTCATTGCGCCATCTGGCTGGTAATGCTGCAAACACGATATTACCCTTGCCCCCTCCCCACGAGATACCTATCGCCAGCGGTAAGCAGTAAATAATATTATTTTGCTGTTTAAACTTTGTAGGAGGTTCTACTTCAAAGCTCATTCTGCGTCTGTACGCTGGTCGGTGCAGACGCAGAATAGAAAATTTGTTCAGAGCGGCGAAAGCGGCCAACGCGGTTGCATCTCCCCTCGTTTTAAAACACTACAGGAGTATTCTGCCTTCGTTGCCATCAGTGAAGCGATGAGTAGAACAGGAGCACTACACTTTGAAGTCAACGGCCGACTGGTTTGCGTCGATGACTTCAGGAAAGCTCTCAAAGACTTGGGCGTCGTGCAGCAAGTATGTGACATTGGGGCATATAAGATTTTTACACGTGTGGTTGATAAACATGAAGACTTGCCCACTGATGAAAGCGCTGACAGAAGGAGGCGTTCTTCAAAGACCGGCTAAATTTTGTCATTGACCCGACGCGGCAAGATATTCGGATACAGTAGCACTGGCTAGCGTTTGATGGTACAAAAGAAGCTATTCGACGTGCTTTCTATAAACAAGGCAATGCCAAGGAGTTGACCGATGGCCTATATGGACATTCAAGGATTTTGTAGGAGTATATTAAAAACACGTGTGATACGCGTGCAACTACATGACGGCCGTTTCTGTAGATCAACTGCCCCATCAATTGCGTATTGAGAGCAGTATGGCACTGGTCGTAGTGCAAGGAAGACTTTCTTTGTGCTTGAGGCACCAAAACATGGGGCACATGTGACGCTATTGCAAAGTTTCAAGGTGCAGCAAATGTAACTCTTCTAGCCATGTGCAAGATGAGTGCTACCGTTCGTACGCCCGAGCTGCGGGGCGACGATCTGAGACTCCAACGTTGAGTGAACTTCTCATGGATGAAGAAGAATCACCACAAGCATCGTTGCCTGCAACACCACAGAAGAAAACGACATCAGATAACGCGCTGGCGCTGAAAGACAGTGGCTACTAGCTGCACCTTAACGACCCGCGAATAGACGCGTCCTGTGCTTGCAGAAGACGCCGCGTCTTGCACTTGCATTGGACGCGACTGCAAACAACGAGCCTGGGAATGTCGGCATCCACGACCAACGCCAATTCAACTACTTTAAACTCGGCTTCACAGTATGCATTTCCGAGTGAAACGAAATAAATTGAAGGTTTGCATGACGACCTGATTAGCAAAAGGATGGAATCAGAATGGGCGTCTTCAAAATGTCATCGCGACTCAGACGACGGCGCTCAAGTAGACGAAACACAAGTGAAGTCGAAAGTGCAGTGAAAAGTCGTTAGTAAAGAAGGAACGAATCGCTGCCAGACAACAATCGTCGTCACTAGAATACAACGATGGCGGTACAAACTAAAGATGAACAACATAGATCCACGCTGTACGACGAGAGGCAAACAAGTGAAAATGCAGGGCTCTCAGCCTGAACCCGCTCACCGATCTCGTCGCTGAGCGGGTTCATGAAGGCAGCGGCGCTCAATGTTCGAGAACTGGCTTTAAAAAAGAAACAGATCCAGCTCTACAGCCAAGCCCTGGACCAAGGCCTAAACATTATCGAGGTCCAAGAATCCGAAGTGGAGAGCTGGGAGGCCACCGAGAGCCTGTTACAACGTTAAACCGGACGCTAGAGTGCTTGTGTCCGTGATGCAGTTGGTCGGCTGGCAGGGTGTGACCTTTGTCCTGGACAGTTTAGGCGCTGCTGTTGAAAATGTCACATCTGATTCGTCTGGGAGGTTTGCTGAATTTGATTTAACATTCTTTTTGTTTCGTTTCCCAATTATTTGTTTATATGCACCTGTTAAACATGAACGATGTGCAATATTCGATGAAATTCGTGCTTTCTGTGAACAGGATCGCAAAATTATCTTAATGGGAGATTTTATGGTATGGTCAGTGCTGGTGATGAAACTAGTGCAACCAATTTTAACGACTCCAGCACAGTAGCGTTAAAGTTTCTAATGTCTAACTTAAAGCTCGAATATATTGTAGAGTATATTGGTAAAGCTGCAACACTATATACCCATTTTCAAGGCTCCAGTCATGCGCGCCTAGATAGGGCCTATTTGTAACTGAAATTAGTTGATTATCAGGGAAGTACAGTGACCTCGCTATTTCATTTAGTTATCACTTTTAGTATGATTCGTATTAGGCAAAAGCAATACGAGTAAACCATTATTTAACTGGGA